CCTGTCCCACAGGCTTTCTGCCAGGGTAGAGATGGCCTCAGCCAGAAAAGGTTCAAACACACCAAGATGCAGAGGCTGAGGCTTGGCCTATGTCAAGGGAACTGTGGATAAACGAACCCTCCCAAACTACAGAGGTTGCCCACAACAGGATGAATCAGGATTTGGAAGCTCCTGGGACTTTGGTCCTTATCTCTGAAGTACCCTGGAGACCAAGTAGCAAGGTGAAGAGGTCTCCGAAGAGAGATGTCCTCAAGCATGGACCTTCCCACTTAGCCCTCTCCTCCCCCTACTCAATAAGTGTGAACAGCCTTCCATCTGGTGGCAAACACTCGTTAAGTGTGGAGAACGCAGACATCTTATTGGAGATGGATGGGGGCATGAAAGGAGAGCTGTATCTTCAGATAAAGGTGGAATGGAAGAGACCCAGTGGGGAAATTCTCTTTGGGAGGGGGTGTGGTCATTCTTCCAATGTCTTTAAAAAGATAAAGATATTGCATCCACCAAAAAAACCAACAACAAACTGGATGTTTTAAACATGAAAAGAAAGGATAGGGCTCTCAGACATTAAGAATACAGGTATGGGCTCCTCCACAGCTCACCATCCAACCCTGAAAGACTGTTTCCTTCTCATTGCTCCGGACTGTCTGATGTAGCCTTGTCCTCACAACCTTACACTCCTCATTGCAGATCCTGCAAACATCTGCAACCCCATTTCCTGTCCACCACCACTCAGTTCACCTATTCGTGTCAATGTTATTTCTTCAGCTTGGGCTGTGTGCATGGTTGCTATAATATATGTAGCCATATCCTATGCACATGCACTGACCAGCTGCAGGGGGTAAGAGCCACAAGCCTTGGGTGCTGTGTATGTGGCTCCCTCTTAGGGCAGGGTCACGCTTGGTGTTAGCCACCCCTCAGGACTCACACTGGAGCCTAAAGAACCTGAGGGCCTGTGCGGAGAGGGCCTTGCTCTCTTGCCTTCCTCCATGAAAGACCCAACACACACGGGGTGGGGAGTGGCCTCGCAGTGTTGATGTTACATTGGCACGATCTCATGGAAGCAGGTTGGAGCTGGGAAATATAGAATCGAGTGGGGCTGGGATTTTGCACAATTTCTGGATTGTGTTTATCTCTTGCAGTTTTGTGATCTTGATGGTTATTTTCTTGTTCTCCCTTAGAAAGTTTTAGCCTTCTCCTAGTGTGTCAAAATCAATCAGTGAAAGACACCAAGCCTCGGGGTTTATGTCCAAGTTTATATTTGTACCAGAGGCTTAAAGAGGACAGTCCACGCCTGAGGGGCAGCATGGTAATCAGCAAAGTGAATGGCCCCAAGAGGACATAAAAGTCAGGGTGGGGGAAGATTGTCTTTCCAGAGATAAAGCTTGGCACGTCTGAATTTCACTAAAGGAAGGAGGCAGAACCAACTCCCAGTATATGTGCTCCTAAACTCTTACATCACCTACCTGGTTATCCCAGAAAAACCTCTGTAGATAGGGTGAGTTATCAATAAACTGTTTTTTGCTTATATTTTCTAATTGTTTTGTGCTGCTAGGGACCCACAAGCAACATGAAAGAAAAAGTAATTTGCTTCGTCTTCAATTTAGTAAAGATAGCCAAGCCATTATCCTCTGAGTTCTGGGCTGCTTTTCCTGCAAGGTGGTTCATTCATTCATTTAATACATATTAAATGCATTCATAAATTGAGTATCTCCTATCAGGCACTGTGAGGGACTGGAAATATCACGGTGAGCAAACAGAGACAAAAGGGTCATCTTCAGGGAAACTTACAGCCTGGTGGGGAGAGAAAATTTCATCAAATGAACAGAAATCTATTTGAAGTCTTCATTGGGCTAACTGCTATGGTGCTGTAAGAGCCTGCATCTCACCTAGTAGAGGCAGGGGGAGCTGGGGTCAGAGAAGGCTCCTTGAGGAAGTGACAACTGAGCTAGGCTGGAAGGATGAGAGGAGTTACTATGGAAGGAATGAAAAATGAACATTCCAGGAAGAGGGACCAGCCTTTGTTTTAGAACAAGGCCATCAAGAAATTAAGCTGGAGTTGCTCTAAGGATGGAAAAGATGGTGGTTGATGCTTCAAGAAGAGGAAGTAGCCTGACACTGATGGAAGAGTCAGCTTTTGTAAGCCTGGAAGAAGGGATGTGGTTGAGGGATGTGTGGTGGGTAGCTGTGGGTGGTGACCCCTGGGGCTTGATGGAATGCGATGCCTCAGAGGGGGCCTAACCTGTGGGAGGTGGCAGAGGGCTACACATTGGGCCTTTGGACCACGGAAGGTTGCAGTGAGGGGCACTGGGCCTTCCCCACAGCCTGCCTTCCCTCCTCCCCCAATGTCTGAATGAAGGAAAGGATTAACACTTGATGGCTAACATCATAAGCAGGAAAAGCAATGAAACAACACTTTAATGAGTAGCAGTATATGTGGTGGCATGGACCCTTGTGTCTGGAGCCAAAGCACTTACAAATCCCAGTTCTACTATTCAACAGTCTTTCCATCTTGGGCAGTTACTTGACCTCCTTGGGTCTCAGTTTCCCCACTGAGGGGAAAGTGGGGATAACCCTATATGTTTTATCGAGTGGTGGGGAAGATTTCAATTGGTTAATACATGTGAAGTTCTTAGAGGTGTCTGGTGCAAAGTGCTATATACATGTTAGGAAAATATAGCAGCCAGAGGTGAGGCCCTTCTCCAATTTTCTTGGACTCCATAGGGCCCTGAAGGCTGGTACAGCTTGCAGGAGCAAGAGAGGCCGCAAAGTGGGCTGGATTTCCAGCCAGACTGAGGGAAGTGGTTGAGGTCTGAGCTGGGAAAACAAATGTTACCATAACATTCTATGCAACCAAGTTCTCAGACCGCTTGCCTTTAGGATTACTGGCGCAGCCAGAAGCAATTCTATTCCGAGAAAATTAGTGCTGGTGGTAACGCTAAGTCAAGGACAAAGAAAGATGAGTGATTTTACGGGCACTCAGACACGTGGAGCCACGTGGGTCACAGAGTCCTCGAGGACCTGAAACTGTTCCCTTCAGACAAGGGGTCAGGATCTCAGCACCGGCACTCAGCTTTGGTGGGCTGGCCTGGGAGCCCCGCTGACCATCATTGGAAATAGCGTCTCAGAGGAAGCCCACCTATAACTCCAAGTGCTCTGTCGCAAAGTTGTGCGATCGGCTGCAGGCTCAAGGAGGAAAGCAGCTCGTCGTTCACAACACATCTGGGAAGCTCACAAAGACGAAGTAAGATCCTGTCCCCTCCCCCGGGCCGGTCGGCCCCCAAAGAAAGAAATGCAAAAGAACAATCTTGTTCGACGATTAACAGGCCCAAGGAATGGCCCCCCAAGGCTCGGGAACCCGGCCAGGTGTGGGTCTCCGGCAGGGGCCGCGGAAGCCCGGCCACGTGGGTCAAGCCGCTCCGCCCCCGGCCTCGTCGTCCCGCCCCCCGGCCTCGTCGTCCAGTCCCCGCGCCAGAGCCGCCGCCGCTGCCGCCGCCGCTCGGGCCTGCTGCAGGTGCGTCTGCGCTGGGGCCAGGCCGGCATCTGCGCGGCCTTCCTGGGCTCCAGCCTGGGGTCCGGCAGAGCACGCGTTCCCGCGGGGCCGAGCTCAGCGGCTGGGTGTGGACCGGGGGCTCACCGGGCCGGACGCGGAGGCGGGGCCAGCCGGCCAGCGGCGCGCCTGCGCGGCTCGAAAGCACCCGCCGATTCCGGGGTCCAAGATGGTGGCAGAGGGGGAGGAGGAGCGCGAGGGGGAGGGGAGTGCGCCCAACTTCTGCGGGTGGACCCGGGAGGCAGCCCCGGCCGCAGCCGCACGTGCGGAGGCCCGAGGCCCTGTGTCTTCCCGGCACAGCGCGGCCGAGAGACGAGGGAGGGGAGGAAACGAGGTCGGAAAGTCATGTGGCCAGGGCAGGTGGGCCTGGTAGGCTGCTGTGAAGGGGGAGACCCCGGGGGCCCCAGGCAGGACGTCCCCTTGGACTAGAGTCACTCTGGGCATGGCAGCCGCCCGGGTGGCAGATGTGGGGTGGCCTAGGCCGGCTGGTGGGCCTGGGAGGAACGGCCAGATCCGCACGTAGTGTAAAACTGCAGCTTTCGGGATTTGCTGAGCTGTGGGGCTGTGGGTGCGAGATGCTGAAGGAAAGGAGAAGTGGGCATCAAGGAGGATGGTGCCCTAAGGCTTTGTAGGAAGAAGTTTTGGGGAAAGTTCCGGAGTTCGGGCTTGGCTGTGTGAGGTGGGAGCGCCATCTTGAAGCCTTGGGAGGTTGGGAGATCCAGCGAGGTAGGAGAAAAACCAGGAGAGGATGGCGCCTGGAAGCCGGGAGGAGAAAGTGGTTTCCGGAGACGTGATCCAGTAGGAGCCTTGGGTTTAGGAAGGCTGGTGACCTTGACAAGAGCAGGTGGTAGTAGGGGAGAGGGAGTGAGTCTGCCAGTGTCGATACCTGGGGGCTAGAGCATTGCATTTATTTAGCTCATAGGTGTTCAAAAAGTATTTAGTGAACAGCTGTGTAAGTTTTTGCAGTTCCTTTGCAATGTACTTACTGTGTATTTTATTTTTTAATAAATTTATTTATTTTTGGCTGCGACGGGTCTTCATTGCTGCCACGTGGGCTTTCTCTAGTTGCGGTATGCGGACTTCTCACTGCGGTGGCTTCTCCTGTTGCAGAGCACGGGCTGTAGGCGCACGGGCTTCAGTAGTTGTGTCTTCAGGGCTCTAGAGCACAGGCTCAGTTGCTCCGCGGCATGTGGGAACTTCCGGGACCAGGGCTCAAACCCGTGTCCCCTGCATTGGCAGGCGGATTCTTATCCACTGCGCCACCAGGGAAGCCCATTATCATGTATTTTAAATTAATGTTCTGTAAATTTTTTTTTCTCGAATTCCTAATGTAACCTTACATTTATTGTGTTTTTCAGAATTGGTGGGGTGCCCCCTTTCTCAACAGGGAACCTGAGACATTTTTCTTTTTTTCTAATTGGGTAGGTGAATTTCCAGTTTCACAAGAAAGCCCGGTTAAGTAGGTACTGCCATTCACCCAGAGTAATATCAGTGTTTGGGCACCTATCCTGCACCCAGAAAGCTCCCGATGACTGTGATGAATGAGTTTTTCTCTCCTGAGGCCTTTCTTCCCACCTGAAGGTAAAAGCAAGGCAGGATAATTGGTGGCTTCACCCAGGGCATTTTTCACCCCTGAGGGCTTTTGGACCAGATATCCTGAGTTCTTCCTCCTCTGACTCAGCACAGTGGGGACCTTCTACCCTACCACCGCACCACCCGGGTATTTGCTTTTGCACTTGAATCGTGATGTGAGCTTGCGGAAGCTAGAACCACTGCCCACCCTGATCCCTCAGAAACGCAGATAAATGTTGGCACAGAGGATGCTTCCGATGAATACTTTGAGGTAGCATCTTGAAAATAGACTTATGTTCTGAGCATTTACAATCATGCAGATAAACTTCAGGTGGCACTGTTCTAAAACGTGCAAAAGTTTTGTTCTTAATCTCTCCTTTGTTTTCACATTTACTGAGAGACTTGGAGAACATCTTGTAAGTTAATGGAAAATTTAGCAAAACAATTCCTACATTCATTTAAAAAAAAATCATGTGATGACTAATAAAACAGGCAGTAGACCTGTTTAGTTTTTGTAACCCACAAGACCAAAATTATCTCACTGATGCATTACTTCAGATAGACACGAAAAACTTAGATTCCACTAATAAATTAGTATGATAAAAGATTTGAAATAAAAAGAATATACATATTTAAAAGTATTTTAATTGTATACAGTTCATGAGTATGTTTATATGCATATATATGTTTATATATATATAAGATATATGTGTATGTCAATAGACATTATAATTCACATAAGATGAGAACTAAAGCTGTCTTCCCCCAAAGTACTTGCTCATTGCATTTCCTAGACAAACAATCTAGATACTAGTGGTTTTTGGAAATATTGAAACATGAGCAAGGAAAACTTTTTTCCATTTTATTATTTTGAGTTCAGTATTATGGTGAAAGTAATTATTATTACTCAATAATGAGAACATTTGAATAGAAAAACTTAGATGAAAAATTAATAGATGAATTAATTAATTAGATGAATTAATAGATGAAAAATTAATAACATTTTACCCAGATAATACAAGTCTTAATTTTGTCAATTCTAATTAAAAACTCCTTCTTAATAATCTCAAATTTTTGACAACTCTTTATAATTAGCAACAAATTCAGTACTTAAGTTCAGAGTAGAATGAAGATTTGCCTTCATTTCACAGCTGTCCAGCAGAAGACCCACCATTTAGACGCTCATGCAGAAGAGCTGTACATATAGCAGTATAGTCAATTGCTTTATGTTGATGCCTTTGTTGATTGGATTTTAAATCCTTAAATCCTTTTAAATGCTTAATGACTTTAAAAATCCTACCTTCATGTCTAAGAAAAAAACATGACAGTTTACTCAGGAGTTGGTCTAGAATTCTTTGAAAATAAGTGGGAATGTTTTCTAACATTTAAAAACTTAACAGAGGAAGAAAATAATTTTCTGGATCAAATTGATGTCTCCAGATTTAAATATTAGAAAGCAACAGTGCAATCAAACATCTTTGAGAGAAATAACGGAACATATTAAGCACAAAATAGCATAAGTAACTTCATGCAACATACAAGGAGCTTTTAGTAAAGTGAAGCAGTTTTGGGAACATTAATCTTTACAGTGTTCATCAAGATGGGCAAGTTTAACATTTATCATCTATGACAACATCTTAAAGCCTCAGCTGGATCTGAGAAAAACCCCTTTTCTTGATAATTATTGAAGCTGAGTGATGGGAACATACAACGAGTTAGTAATACTATTCTATTTTTGTATATGTTTAAATTTTTCCGTAGTTAAAAAAGTAAAGCATAAACTGTAGATAGTTACACCGTTATTGAGGTGTTCAGAGGTTGTTCTGGAAACCAACACTACACTATTTTTCTCTAACCTACTCTCTTTTTCAGAATTCCAAGCTACTGGTCCAGTCTTTTTGATTAAAGCAGAGACAGGTTACAGTGAAAATTTGTTGACATTTTGTTTGCTTGAAAGTTTGTTTGCTTCTTGTTGTTTTTAAGTGAGGTTTATTGAAATGCAACTTATATACTGTAAAATTCACCCTTTTGTTACACAGTCTATGAGTTTTGTAAAAACACCACAAAATAAAGACATAGGATTTTCCCTGGTCCTACCTGCCTTCCCTTCCCTCAGTCCCTGGGTACCACGGAGGTGATTTCTGTACCCGTAGTTTTGCCCTTTCAGAACATCATATAAATGGTCTCAAACAGTAGGCAGCCTTTTAGGTCTGGCTTCCTTCACTAAGCATAATGCTTTCCTTTTTTCAAAAGAAAGCACCTTTATTTTTATTTTATTTTTTTGCTGTAGGCAGGCCTCTCACTGTTGTGGCCTCTCCCATTGCGGAGCACAGGCTCCGGACAGGCAGGCTCAGCGGCCGTGGCTCACGGGCCCAGCTGCTCCACGGCATGTGGGATCTTCCCGGACTGGGGCACGAACCCGCGTCCCCTGCATCGGCAGGCGGACTCTCAACCACTGCACCTCCAGGGAAGCCCAGCAACTTTATTTTTGAAATAATTTTAGGTTAATAGAAATGTTGCAGACATAGTATACAGAGTTCCCATATACCATTTACCCTGTTTCCCCTAAGGTTAACACCTTACTCAGTTTAGTACAATGATCTAAACTAGGACGTTTACATTGATACAGTACCGTTAACTAATTGGCTCACTTCATATGTTGCCACTAATGTCCCTTTTCATGTCTCGAATCCAGTCCGGGATCCCACAGTACATTTAGTTGTCATGCCTCCTTAGTCTACAAACTGGGACATGTCCCCAGTCTTTATCCTTCATGACCTTGATAGCTTTGTTGAAGAGTACTGGCCACTTTTGCCATAGAATGCTTGCTCGGTTGGGGTCTGTCTGATGTTCTCTTACAATTAAATTGAGCTAATGCATTTTGGGGAAAAATACCACCCAAGTGATGTTTTGCTCTTCTCATGGCATCATATGATAGACGAAGATGAAGTAGTATGAGGGAGGTAGATGAAGTCAGTATGTCTTAGAACTGGTGATGTTAACTTTGGTTACTTGGTTAAGGTCATATCTGCCAGGCATCTCCACTGTCGTATTACTATTGTGTAATACTTTGAAAATGCATCCGTGTTGCACGTATTACCAGTTTTTTCTTTTTATTGCTGAATAAGATTTCATTGTATGGATGAATCACAATTTGTTTACCCTTTTAAGAGTTGATAGACATTTGGTTTGCTTCCAGATTTAGACCGGGCACTATCTGCTAGGCCTGTTGAACATCAATAATTTCACAGAACACCAACATCAGGCAAGGCTACCCTGTGATCACGATGAATCCGGACAAAAATAAGACAACTCCATAATTAGGTCTGAACCCAGACATAAATAAGAACTTTGTCTAAACCACTAAAATGGCAAAACACCCTCCTATCCTGGCTAATAGGAGGGCTGCTGCCTCTTGACCAATCCCAGCTCAAGCCTCACTTCTCTCCTTCCTCCTAGATCACACTCACTGAATTATCCAATTAAAGTATACTTTTTCCTGACAGCATCCAATCCAGATCAAAGCCTCCTTCCTGACCCTCCCCAGCTTTACCCAACACAAGCCCAAATTCTGTAATAAATCCTTCCCAGCACATCACCGGGACACCTGCAGTTCCTCACCGTGAGCTGCTCCGTCCCTGCACTTGCTCAGCTGCAGGTGTGTTCTAGACTTCTGCTGGAGAGCACTGACAATGCAAACAATATATAAACAAAATATATAAACAATATATAAATATATAAAGTGAGGTTGAAAATCCTCACTTCCACTCTTGTCGCCATACATCCTACTTCTCACCCCAATTCTTGTTACTAATTTCTTGGGAATTCTTCCATTTATTTTTTAAACACAAATGCAAGTAAGTACTATGGTATAACTTGTATCCCCCTTCCTTCCTCTTACAAGGCGCTATTTACACCTGACTTTTGTCCCCTATTCTGGAAATCTCTGTCAGATTAGAGGGAACAACTCATTCTGTTTTTTATTTTTAACATGTGAAATCTGAACATTGGAAAGATTTATGGAATGAAATAATCTGATTTGGCACTAACAGAGTTTTGAGGCTCATCTTCCAGACATTTATTTTTAACCTCTCTGAATACCCTCTGCTCTACTGATATCAACACTCACTTCTGAAGCCAGCGAGCTGTCTGCTTATAAATACTGAGTCAACCAGCAAATCACATTTAATTAGACTTTGAATTAGACTTTGTTCATTTGGGTCGTTGTTGTTTAATTGTAGTAAAATACATATAATGTAAAATTTACCATCTTAACTGTTATTTAGGGTGTGATTCAGTCGTGTTAAGTACATTCACATTCTTGTGCATCCATTCTCCAGAACTCTTTATCTTGCAAAACTGAAACCCATTATTTTTATTTTTAAACCATTTTATAGTTTACATGCAGTAAAATTAACCCTTTTTTAGTGCAGAGTCCTGTGGGTTGTGACAACACGATCATGTAACCACCACCACAATCATGATGTAGGACAATTCTGTCACTCCCCCATATCCCCCCGTGCCCTTTTGTGTATTCACTCCTCCGTGGTCCGGCAGCCACTAATATGTTTTCTGTCCCCATAGTTTTATCTAGTCCAGAATGTCATATACGTAGAGTCATACGTGCATTCTTTTTTTATAGCAGCCATGTTGCATACTGTGAATGTGTCATTGTTTATTGAACTCATCCCCTGCAGATGGACATGTAGGTTGTTTCTAGTCTCTTGCTGTTAATCACAGTAGTCTAAAGAACAGCCCTGTAGGTATGTCATTTTGGATGTGTGCAAGTGTCACTGTTGTAAAACTACCCAGACTTGGGAGTGCTAAGTCAAAGGGAAAATGCATTTGTTTTTGATAGGTTGTCCTCCAAGGGGATTGGAAAGTTTTGGGAAATGTGTTATTTTTCTATTTTTCCTGTATATACAGACCTTTAATCCTGAGTTCTGCCAACAGTGTGATCCACTAGATAGAAGTCAGCTATCTCAGTTACCCTTTTGATGTCATGGATCTGAATATTGCCTTTCTCTGTGTCTGTTTTTCTTTTATATAACTCCTCGGATAGGTAAAGATTTACTAAATGTGCTTGAAGACTCGCAAGTTTCTTTGAGATGATGTCGTCTTAACCCTATTTGTTGTCATAGCGCATGTCTTCCCTGCCTAGTTCAGCTCTCAGAATTTACATTCTCATAGAAGCTATATTTTGATGCAAAGTTGAGAAGCCAGTGGTTTTCATACCTTTTTGAAAGCATCAGAAGCTGTGTTTCAAATGAGTTCTCCCATCTGACCCCTTCCCAAGTCTCTGAGGCTGTGGTTCTCTAACTCGCACACTCATCAGAATCACCCGGAGACAGAGATGGGCCCCACTGCCAGAGTTCCTGATTCAGTGGATCTGGGGTGGAGCCCATGACTTTGCATTTCTAACAGGATCTCAGGGGATGCTGCTGCTGCTGGTCTGGGGACCATACTTTGTAAACCACTATTCTGGGCACCTAGGAGCGCTTGAGAACACACAATGAAAACAGCTGGTTTAGAGGATGAACACCCTGAAAATTGCTACAGAAGATTTCTGTTAAGGGCATTCTTTTGCATATATGTGTGTATGTATATATTTGCAGAAATACCAGTATTTTCTGATTGTTTCTCTTTGTTTTGTGATTTTTCTAAATCCCGTCTCAATAATTAGTGCGACGCAGAGAACCTGATGCCACCTCTCCGGATTGTCCCAAGCCGTTTACTTTCCCAGCTGCATTGTGGATTGAAACCTCCAGCCTCTATACAAACCAAGATTTGCCTAACAATGGCTCGTCCAAGTTCAAGTAGGTCTTCGCAGCCTGCCCTCTCATCTCCAGTGGAATTTGAAATACCTGAAAGTTCCTGCCCTGTGAGGGGGAATGTCTGTGTTGAAGTGGGTACGGGGCAGGATGGTGGAGAAAGTCGCTCTGTCCTGTTGTCCTTAGGGAAGCCCTTTCTAGGACAGGGTCAGAATTATCTCTCAGTAGCCAAGTTAAGTCCATTTAAGACATTCTGTTGCTTCTTCAGAATGTTTGCATTTAAGCTTTTCACACATGATTTGTATTTTAAACCCCTCACCTCTCGGCAGGGCAAGAAAGCTAGTGATCGTGCTGTGGGTACTATGGGGTTAAATTTTCTACCAGACAGAAATGATTTGTATCTCTACCTGACAAAAACCTGCAAGTCAACTCTGACCTACGAATCTATTCATCAGTAGGATGACAGAGTTTACATTTGAGGTAGAAAAGACCTCTAGGGTAAAGTTCTATGGGTGAACTTTAGGTCCGTAAGGATGTTTGTAGGTTTTGAATCCAGGAGTCATGTAAATAGTTCCTAGAAAAGTACTGATGTATTTTCTTATTAAGCATCTTGTTCTTTCAGGAGATTAGATCGGATTACAACCTCTAACCCACCCAGACTGGGTTTCTTTTTCTGAATTCTTCCTGATTGGACAGCTTTCGTGGGCCCTGCTTTTCACACTGGTCTGTCTCTGAAAGGGGTGCGAATTCAGGCAGCGCTAGTGTGGTTGGCAGGCCACCGGGCTGGTTGCACGCAGGGGCACCGTGTGCCTAGACCGTCTTCATCCCGTTGAGCTTGTGCTGCTGAAAGCATGGTCCCAGAGCTCCAGGACCGAGCGGGAGAGGGGGCCGGAGCCTCTGCATCTTCTGTTTCTGAGGCTCTGCTTTTATTCTTTGTTTATTCTTGCCAGTCGTCAGGGAGGAAGGGAAGGGGAGGAGAGATTTGGAGCCTCTTTTGAGATTCTCTGTCCTGGGCTAGCCATAGAGGCAGCTCTGAGCTTACAAGGGGGAGGAGGTCCCCGCCCTGCCTGGAGGAGCCATCAGGTATGAGAAACTGGTAAGATGCACATCACCAGCCTAGGGTGCGCAATGACGTCGCCTTCCGTTTAACGTTCACTTTGTTGTCTGTGAGCCCCCATCCCACTGTCTTCCTTCCCTTCCTCCTTTGCCTGTTCCACGTCTCAGGGGCGCTCGATCAGTCCGAGGGTTGATGAGCCTCGGTTGCCATTCCTCCCGAGGGAGACCAGAGAGCCTGTTCCAGCAGCCAAGCAGCCTGCTTCCACTGCAGGTTGAGCGCAGGTTGGCCACTCCTGGAAGATACCTGTGCCCGGCAGACCCTGCCCTGGTGGCCCAGGCCAGCCGCAGGCCGCGCTGGTCCACACTCGCTTCTCCGGGTAGGGGCACTGGAGGAAGTCTCTTCCCCCGCAGCTTATGCTCGGCTCTGCGGCACTGCTTAGGCCTGGCCTGCGGGGCCGTGGCGTTTCCTCACCCCAGGCACGAGGGCCACAGAGCCGCGGCGCCTGGGAGAGAGGGCGTTGCTCTCGGCCTCATCTCTGCCGCCCAGAGAAACGACGGCAGTTCCAAGCCTGGCGATGGATGACATTTCGTTTCAGGACCAAAGTCCACCTTTGGCGGCGATGCTCATCGAGTGCTTGGTGCGGCGCCTGGGCACCGTGAGCCCTCACGGCAGGAGGGCTGCTGCCCCTATTGGTCTGAGGTCAGGCGGGAGGATGCCCGGAGGTGCAGGGTTAGGCCTTGCATCCTGGAGCGCAAGCCACAGGCTGTGACCACGACTCCCTGCTGTCGTGTTATTCTCTGTGTTCAGTTCCCTTCCGTTACCCCAAGTCTCTGGGGACGTCTTGTTGTAAAGACCAGCTCTGACTCGAGCTGTAAAGGAGAAGGTCATGGGTCCAGATTGGGACAGAGCGTTTATTCACAGAGGAGGGGCCCTCACCTTCACCCCGGTGGTGATGCCGAGCGAAGCTGGGATTAGCAAGATCCTCAAAGGGAAGTGAATTTGGAAAGGAAGGGAATGCTTTGGGGTCCCGCGGGCCTGAGGTCAGTCCTCACACACACACAAGCTTGTTTTTACTTTTAAGAAGGAAGGTGCAACCCCGTCCATTAGCGTTTTTTTAAATTTTTAAATTTATTTATTTATTTTGCGGTACGCGGGCCTCTCACTGTTGTGGCCTCTCCCGTTGCAGAGCACAGGCTCCGGACGCACAGGCTCAGCGGCCATGGCTCACGGGCCCAGCCGCTCTGCGGCATGTGGGATCTTCCCGGACCGGGGCACGAACCCGTGTCCCCTGCATCGGCAGGCGGACTCTCAAACACTGCGCCACCAGGGAAGCCCCCATTAGCGTTTTTTAATCCTCATAGTAGCCACCCTTTACGGAAGGCACTATTGTGCACATGAAACAGCCAAGGAAACCCAGGATAGCAGAGGGTCAGTCATTCACATAAGATCTCGCTTGCGGGAGATGGGGTGGGATGCAGGGCCAGTGCTGTGCGCCCCAAGCCCCTATCTCTTTCTTAGACGTTGAACACTCACACATCAGGTGCCTGGGGGCGTCTTCATGGTACGAGAAGGATTTTCATTTGCTCATCTTAAAGTATAATTTCACACAAGGTCAAGTTTCAAAATACAGGCAGTTGATTTGGGATGTAAATGTCCAGATGGTGCACTGAATTGACCAAGATTTTATTCCCTCTAGGTATGGCTGACTTCCGGAAGTGTTTTGCAAAAGCCAAGCACATAGTCATCATTTCAGGGGCTGGCGTCAGTGCTGAGAGTGGGGTACCGACTTTCAGAGGAGCGGGAGGTTATTGGAGAAGATGGAAGGCTCAGGTTAGTCATGTCTCCACAACAGCGAGAGGCTCTTCTGCATGAAGCCATAATGGTGTTTGACTCGCAACCTGTACCTACTCCTGACACCCAGAGAGGAAAGTTTTGAAATTTACCATGACCCTTTTGTTGTGTTTGTTTTGGCATCGACACACGGTCCGTATGATTAAGATCTCAGATTTAAGCAAAGCAGCCTCTTTCCTTTCTTTCTAGGCATGTATTGACTGCACTTATTCAGATAACAATTGGGTTTCTTCCAGTAGCTAAAGTGGAACCAGAAAACTTTGGTTAGCATAATTCATTACTTTTCTATCGATGTTGAAATTAAGAATTGCACATTTTTAAAAAGTTTCTCTGAACTTTTCATGTGAAAAACAGTGTTGAATTGTTAAAGGCTTAGGCCTTGATGCTCAAAACTTTACATGAAGGTCATTAGGATGTAAGTTCTCTGGGGGCATGCAGTTTTTTTAATTCAGTTTTTATTGAGGTATAATATATTGGGAAAAACCCAAACTTTTTGGCCAACCCCATACATGCAATAAAATTCGCCAATATAAGTGTACAATTCAGTGAGTTTTAATAAATGTATACAGTGGTGCAGCCACCACCAGGATCACGGTGTGGAACATTTCTGTGCCCCAGAATATTCCCTCAAGGCCCCTGTAGGCAGTCTCCTCCCCTCCCCCTGGCCCAGGAGATCCCTAGTTTTGGAGGGCAGGGAAATGTGCCTGTTTTCTTCATCGCTCTATCCCCAGCTCCCAGAACTCTGGCACATGTAGCCGCTTATCAGATTTCTGTTGGTCGAAAGAAGGCAATCATGAGTAATTACTTCAATGCGTGACTTCCAAATTTCACAGGTAGTTTCTTACCGAGGGAAGGGTTAATGAATCTGCCCTTCCTTCCCCGATTGAATGTCTCAGGCTGGCACATGTTTAGGATGTCTTGTCACCTCTCTGCTGCCCTCTGGGCGAGTCTGGGGATCATCACCTTAAAGGTGAGGGAGGGGAGAAAGGAGAGCAGAGGGCCCTTAGGGTCCCACAAGAAGGAGCAGCTGCGGAGGGCAGTCCCTGGGTCTGAGAAGCAGGGCAGGGTGGGGGCGGACGGGGGTGCTCAGCGGGCATCAGGAGGGCCTTCCAGAGGGGTGGTCGGTGGTGTCAAAGCAGCTCAGGGTCTGTGGGGACCCAAAGAAGTCAGTCGACGGTTTGAGTCCACCTGTGTTCCAGGGCTGCAGCTTCATGGGCTGCCTGTGACCGCTTCGGGCCACCGGAGGTCTAAGTGGGGACAGGAAGGAAGGAGGTACAGGGCTGATGTAGATGACGATCCGCTCCTCCGATGCAGGCTGACTTTACCACCAGGTCGAAGGGTGACCTTCATAGTAAAATACATAATCCCAACCCTGCCTCAATCCGTTTATGGAACATTTCAGTCATTGCCAAGGGTTCCCCTCCTCCGAGCTTCCAGCCCCAGACAGCTGTGGACCACACTGCTCTTCCACCGTCGATGAGATTTGCCTCTCCTAGAAGAGGAATCGCACTTTAAAAATATGTATTTTATATATATCCTGTTACTATAATGTATATACTATTTTTTATATGTGTAGTTGTGTGTGTGTGTGTGTGTGTGTGTGTACCTATCATTATAGTTATAAAAACCGAGTTTTTCAGCTATGGCCATTATACCTCAGTTGGGCATTTTGCATTTTACTTTTCTTCCTGGATAAATGAGCTTGGCATCCTGTAATGTGGAGCTCCATGGAAAACTGGATTCCAGACTCAATTACCTTCCCGCTGGTTACTCGACTTCACGTTCGTAACTTACTCGAGTGGAAGATGAGGCAGGTTGCAGTCTCCCTGCGTCATCACTGGGGAAGTTAAACCGATTTCTCCAAGGTTCCTCGTGAGCCCCAGGCCCCGCCCTGTGGCTGCCACGCCACATGTACCTACACGGACGTGTCCCTGTGGGCACCTCCCGAAGCTGCCACTCTGCTTAGAACAAAGGGGCCCTGGGAGTGTCCCGCCGGCTGCAGCAGCCCTGCCGCCCGGCTTCTGGAGCATCAGAGCTTCTTTCCCTCCCTGACCCCTGCCTCCTTTCTGCCCCCCAGGACCTGGCAACCCCTCAGGCCTTTGCCCGAAACCCATCCCAGGTGTGGGAGTTCTACCACTACCGGCGGGAGGTGGTGCAGAGCAAGGAGCCCAACGCCGGTCATCTGGCCATCGCTGAGTGTGAGGCCCGGCTGGGCAGGCAGGGCCGACGGGTCACGGTCATCACGCAGAACATCGACGAGCTGCACCGCAAGGCTGGCACCAAGAACCTTCTGGAAATCCATGGTGAGGGACCCTCGGTCTTCCGTGGGAGGGGGGAACCAGACCTGAAAACACAGGTGCTGCCATGTCCCAGCTGGGCCCACTGCATCTTAACAAGACCCCAGGTGTCTGGAATGTGGCCCACCCTGCCTGGAGAAGCCCCGCCTGCTCTGCTATATGCTCTCCCCTCCCTGGGTGTCCTGTTGAGGGGCCTTATGTTCCCAGACAGCCCCCCAAGCTGGGCTGACGGAAGCAGGAGGCTTGGGCCATTGAACCGCTGTGGCTTCAGCAGGATCCAGCTCCGGAAAGGCCTGGCATCCCCGGGGGAACCATTTACTCTCCCTGTGTGCCCGATCGGCAGTGTCCGCCGAGGCTGTGCTTCTGCTCAGCCCTCGAGCCTTTAGGGAGCTTCCAGCTCAGTGACCTTCGCTGCAATGAGCCCAGCAGGTCTGTGACACCGCGGAGCTTGTCTTGGATCCCTCTGGCTTCCCTTCTCTGCGCTTAATGACACCCTTCTCTTTCCTCTTCTTAATCCTCTCCCCTTTTTGCTCTCGCCGAAAATCTGATCAGTTCATTCATACAAGAGCATAAATGGGTATGCAGGAATTTCTCCCCAAGGGCATTTAATAGTCTACAAAAGTTCAATCCCAAGAAACGCATTTCAAATTGTGGAATTCCCAGAAGCAGTGGCCCCGTGGGGCTCCGGGCTCCCTCTAGCGTAGCTGCCTCCTCAGAAGATAAGTCTCTGGATGGCCTTGCTTGGGCCACATACCTCCCTTTTGACCAGACACTGCTGCCAGAAGGAGAGGCTGCTACGATGGGACCGGCCTGGAGCTCGTGCCCAAGCTCGTATCTGGGGATGTGACTGACAGCTCCGTCAGCTTGGCCTGGGATAGAGGAGAGGGGGCTCCCCAAAGAAGGAGTCCTGGCCAGAATGGAACAGTGTGTGTCCACCGCAGTGTGGCGCGCTCAGCACTGGGCATGGGGTGACTATTTAGTGAATTGAGATCACCTTTTATTGGTTAAGCTCAGCAAGTCATTGCTAGTTTTCACAGTTACTTTCTTCGTTTGTTAGTTGATTATTTATTGAGCTGCTTTTGTAGAAAAGATTCAAGCTTTATTAAGTCAAAATTAAGATTCTGTAAAGCACGTCCCAAGCTATCGAGTGTTTATCAGTCATACACTTAGTAAATCCTGCCCTTAGGGTTAGATTGGCTTCTTCTGCCCAACTGACTACTTCAGTTCCACCCGAACATCAGGGCAATCAGAGAGCTCCTTAGTCACGCAGTGAGTTATTTCATCCGCCTCTCTCTCCTATAGGTTATGCGGTCCAGGAGGGCAGATGTTCTGGCTTGTTCAGTAGTACTGCATGCCTTTATTATGTTCCCTGCGATGCCTGGGGTAGGCCCATTTGTTAAAACGATGTATAAAACAAAATTATTTCGTACCCTTTTAGACGTGGAGACAATTGCGCCTGATTATACTAAATTCCAGTCTTGTTTAACTTCTGTTTTTCAGGTAGCTTATTTAAAACTCGATGTACCTCTTGTGGAGTTGTGGCTGAGAATTACAAGAGTCCAATTTGTCCAGCTTTATCAGGAAAAGGGTAATCATACTGCACTACAGAATAGACGTGTGTCGTTTTGTCTTAAGTTGAATATAAATGCGAAGAAATTGAACATTCATCTAAGATGCCCGTGGATATTTATGCGAAATAAAACTGGGTACAGTACAGCTATATGATAAAAGAAGTATTGTGCTCACAGTTTACAATGTTAAGTGAAAACAACGGAATCTAACTCTATACAGTATGATCCCAACTTTGTATTTAAACACACACACAAACACACACACACACACACACACACACACACACACAGACACACACAAACACACCATGTTGATGTATCTTTATATAGATAAAAGTCCAGAAGAAAATACAACAAAATATTAACAGGAGTGGTAAGATTATGGACAATTTTGATTTCTTCTTTATATATATCTTTCTGAATTTTCCAACATTTCTATGATGAACATTTACTATTATTATAATTAGGGCAAAAAATTAAGAGTAGACTCAGAATATTGAGAAAAATTCTACGTGGCTATTTGAAATCAGTATAAATTATCCATGTAACTTATTAACATAATGTCATTGCAGATAATTCCAACTAGGATGACATATACCATGCAAATCATGAAACTCTCCTTAGCACAGCAGGTACTCCACCTGCTTCCCACATACAAATTCCCTCTCCTGAGGTAGAACCAGTGGTAATCAACTGTTTGGTGTCCATCCTCCTAGTACCCTTCTAAGTCAGTGTGTATTCATTAGGAGTTTTGTACCATATACTGCCAGGCAAAGAGTCAGTCTCATTGGGCTATCTTATTTCATTGTTCTTCGATTACACCAGTGACGTTCTTTCTTTTCTGATACTATTTACTTCAGGGCTCCAGAACCTGAAACTCAAGATGCCAGAATCCCAGTGGAGAAACTTCCCCGGTGGGTAAAAATCTTTGATCTGTATTTGGTGTTCCAGATTGCAAAAAAAAGAAAATTAGGAGTCAAAATCCAAGTTCACTTGGTGAGATGCCTCTTAGATGTGCAAATGCCGAAACCAGCCCTGATCTATGAGGCCAAGGGCGAAAGGACAAAAGGTGAACCAAGCCAGGCTTAAGAGAAGTGCTTCCGTCCCATCCCTTTCTCCTGTGTGTTATGGCGGGATCATTTCAGGTGTGAAAGTTTCAGCAGCTGTTATGTGGTAGACACTTAGCAGTGTATACGAAGCGTAGAGGCTGGCATCCCGGGACTAACTGGTCCATAAGCCTCGGCTGCTACCCTCTCTGTCCTCCTCCTAATCTTCAGAGTTATCAATCCAGGGTCACGGAGGCAGGAGGAGGTCTTGCAAAGGTGAAGTTGTAGGGCCAAATAGAATCTTTGTAGAGTAACAACAACAAAAAACTTGTATGTGAGTTTTTTCAAAACTGACATTAAAATAGCGCTTCCAAAAGTGTTTCTCAGAGCACTAGATCCATGGGAAGTTATACGCATTACTTGAAAAAAAAGATGTCATGTGCTCAAATAAATATGGAAGCGCTAGATTGAACGAAGTTAAAGTATGTTTCCTTTACTGCAGGATTAATCAGAGCACTGAATATGTGAAAGTACACTGTTACTCTCTAAAAAGCGATTATGTTAGTATTTCCCTGGTTGACTTAACCTTTTTTATTTTTCTTAATAAGGGTTTCCATTACTAAATTCAAAGTTTTGCTCTAAAAGAATGTTTTCATTACTAAATTTTGAAGTTTTGATCTGAAAGTTTTGATCTAAAAGAATCTTGAGTAGGAGATTAATATGATGAAAATGGTGTTTGGGGGAGATTATTTTAGAAGGTAAATTATAAGATGACCTGGGGTAGTAGCGAGTGAAAGATGAGAGATTTTTAGGAATTGACGCTGGAGAACTTGGCTAGAGACAGGGCAAGAGAGAGGTGGATCTGAGAGAAGAAAGAAGGAGGTCACTGATGAAATTAGCAAGCAGTTGACGTGTTAGAGGCAAACCTCAGCCCAGTACATTCCTCCTGGGCCTGGCTGACCGTGAGCACGACCGTGCCCATGACCGTGGGGAAGCGGCTGGGGAAGAGACAGCTGTTTAGAAGGAGAAGAGCAAGCCTGGCTGAAACGCCTCCACCAGCACGTCAACCCGGTGCATCCAGACAGAATAGAAACTTCATAAGGGCAGGTAGAACTACACCTTCAGGACAAGCTCATGTGGGCTGGAGGGAAGGGATGGGGGATAGGAAGGCTCAGAGTGACCTATCTGGACAGACTGGCCCTGGTGCAGCTCCTGGCTGTCCCCGATCCACTTGGGCAGACCTTCCTGAGAGCAGGTCTTGCGGTTGGCTTAAGGATGACACTCTTCCAGGTGTGAAGAGGCAGCATGCGGGGGCCTGCTGCGACCTCACGTGGTGTGGTTTGGAGAAAACCTGGACCCTGCCATCCTGGAGGAGGCTGGCAGGGAGCTGGCCCTCTGTGACTTGTGTCTCGTGGTAGGTCATGCCCGTCCCTGATCCTCGGGAGGCTCTGAAACACCAGGCGGGGGTGGGGTGGGGGTGGGGGTTGCTTCCTCCCTCCCTCCCCCTCTTTTCCTTCCTCCCTCTTCCCCTCCTTCTCCCTCTCTCCCCCTCCACCCTCCCTTCCTTCCTTTTCTTAAGGGTGTGTTGAGAGTCGGGGGGTGCCCTATAGAAAAACTAAGAAGCGGTGAATAAGATACGATCTCAAAATATGAAACTATGGAAGACCATGTCTGGGGCTTCTCAAAGCCTTTCCCCCCAGAAGAGAAATAATGAAAAGAGCATGTTATTGGTTCTGATTTTGAAAGTAACACATGCTCGTTATTAAATTTGAGAAAATACAAAAAAGTATAAAATTCTAAAGAAGAAATTAGAGATCACCAATAATTCCACAATCCAAAAATAGTCCCTGTTAGCATTTTGGTGTGATCTCTTCTAGACCAGAGGGGAGCAAACTATGATGTACATTGTCTTGGGAACAAAGCTGTATTGGAGCATAGCCGTACCCTTCCTTCTATGTATTGCCTGTGGCTGCTGTCACACTATAATAGCAGAGTTGAGTCTTTGTGACAGAGACTGCATGGCCTGCAAAGCCTAAAACATTTACTATCTGGCCCTTTACACAGAGTTGACCCACCCTGGTCTAGACCTCTGCTTATGCAGATGTAGACGTATTCAGATTCAAAAGTGGGTTCATACTGTATGTCCTGCTTGGAAGCTGCTTTATTCACATAGCAGTTCACTTAGCCTATTTCATGTCCGTACGTCCAAATCCACGTCATCTTTTAACAGGCTGCGTGGTGGTGTTCCTTTGTATGCATGTAAAAGGACATAGTTAACCAATCCTCCACTGTTGGACACTTAGGCTGTTTCAGATTTTGATATTTTAAAACAATGCTGTGATGAATGTCCTTAGATGTAACTCTTAGCAGGCTCTTGAAGTTATTTCCTGAGGGCAGATTTCCTGGAAGTGGAATTAATGGGACAAAGGGCATGCACATTTCAGATTCTCCTAACACATCTCTAAAAGCAGAAGCGGCCTCTCACCGGTGCGTGTTCATTCGGCCGGTATTTCTTGAGTGCATCCCACTGTTGAATCTAGTATCAATGTGCTCGATAGACAGTTAAGCAAGGAAAGCTGGCTTGTAAAACTTGGGCTGGTCTCCCTGCTCTTGTAAAGAATGTTTATAAATATATATTCGTAGAGAAAAACCTGAAAGAATATACATCAGAATGCGAACAGTGATAATCTTGGTAGAAGTAGGATTATGAATGACGTGTATGTGTTTTCTCTTTGTATTTTCTAACTTAAAAGGAACCTGGATTATTTGCATCTCTTCAAAGAGCAGAAGCAAAACTAAAACGAACCCCCTTTGGGTGACGATCGAGTCATTTCTTTGCCGTTTTCTCCGTGTGTGCAGCTCTTGTCTTCGTATCGCGTGTCCTTCCCGAATTCTAGGGGTCAGCCAGGGGGGCGCCTCCTGCCTCCCTGTTTGTCCCTCAGACGCTCTCCACTTATCCCATCCAGCTTAGCTGTCCTCACACCCGCCACCACAAACTGGCCCAGGTTTCTGGTAGGTTTTCTGAAAAGCTGTTTCCTCTCCACGGTGTGGTCATTTGTCCGTTTCCATTTGTTTGCTCTGTAGGTGGGAACTTCCTCGGTGGTCTACCCCGCCGCCATGTTTGCCCCCGAGGTGTCTGCCCGGGGGGTACCGGTGGCCGAATTTAACATAGAAGCCACCCCTGCAGCGAACAGATTCAGGTACCGGGATCACCAAGGTGGGAATGCACGCTATTGAGCGGGTTTGGACGTGCTCATCCAAGCAGATTTTACTGCTATTCTAATTTAAAAACACGGAGTTTGTGTCTTCTTATTTGGCCTATAGTTGCTTTGATGGAAGAAAACAAAGTATTAAACCTAGATGAAGGCAGCTGTGTCTTTTTACGGGAAGTTTGCCATAGGGCTTTTGTTTTTCACATTTTGAAAGTTCTTCCTTGATTCTTCAGACTTGACTTTTATTTGTATTTTTAAGCTAGATTTAGTGATGGCATTTAGAGGTAGGTCAGCCGAAGACTCGGCACGTAAGCCCAGGAGATACCCGTGCGGAACTGCGTCTCCCACGCTTCTCACCGTGGGGCTCCCTGGGCAAATTCCCCTTTGGTCTCACTGTCAAGAATATTTGTACTTGTGGCCATATGGTGATACTGATCCTGTTTCCCAAATTTGTGTGCAAAGTGTAGATTATCGCAGTATTCATTTGTAGTCTCATTCTAGGTTCCATTTTATGTCTTCACCTTTGTTTTGCTTTTTTTCACCCCTGCTTTTCTCTCTTCATTTTTAATGTACTTTATATATTCTTGTCAGTCTGTTTAATTCCTTTCCAGAATAAGGTAGACTATAAACTAATAAATAAATATGAATAAATAAAAGAAAACTTCACTGAAGCTTCTTGTCACTACTTTAGTCAGTGGTTTTTACCTCAGGTTTTAAAAATCTGATGACCCAGGAGATTCTGGTGTAATTGGTGTGAGGTGTAGCCTGAGCCCCATGACTTTTATAAGCTTTCTGGGTAATTCTAATGTGCAGCCAGGATGAGAACCAATGCTCTTTTTCATTGGAATAAAATCGTGTCACAGACGGTGTGGAAACACTCAGATATAATCCTCTTCAGGTGAGTGAGCTGACTTTCTTCCTAGACTTCTCCAGGTCTTTTTAGTCAGCTACAGCCTATGTGCTTAGACCATAGTTCTTCATTTGTGTATAAAAGGTGGGAACTAGGAAGGCGCCTTTTAAGTTTACTTATTTAATTTATTTATTTTTGGCTGTGTTGGGTCTTCGTTGTTGTAGGCAGTCTTTCTCTAATTGTGTCGACGGGCTTCTCATTGAGGTGGCCTCTCCCGTTGTGGAGCACAGGCTCCAGGCACACAGGCTTCAGCAGCTGTGGCACACGGGCTCAGCAGTTGTGGCTCACGGGCTCCAGAGCGCAGGCTCAGCAGCCGTGGCACACGGCCTAGCCACTCCGTGGCATGTGGGATCCTCCCGGACCAGGGCTCGAACCCGTGTCCCCTGCACTGGCAGGTGGACTCCCAACCACTGCGCCACCAGGGAAGCCCCAGGAAGGCACCTTTTAAAACATTGCCTTCTGTGTGAAACTTATACTCTGAAAATGACAGAATGCTGCTGGAAGAAATACAGAAGACCTAAGTATATGGAAGGACAAAGCTGAAAAGAGTCCAGAAAATAAACCTCATGTTTATAGTCAATTGATTTTTGAAAAGGGTATGAAGACAAATCAGAAAGGGAAAGAAGAATCTTTTTAACAAATGGTGCTGGAACAGCTGGATAGCCACCTGCAAAAGAATGAAATTGGACCCCTTAATCACACCATAAACAAAAGTGGATCACAGACCTAAATGTAAGAGCTAAAACTATAAATTTCTTAAAATATAGGAGTAAATCTTTGTGACCTTAAGTTAGTCAAAGCCTCCTTGATATGACATCAAAAGCACAAGTAGCATAAGAAAAATGGATAAATTGAACTTCATCAAAGTTAAAGCTTCGGTGCTTCAATGGACACCACCACTAAAATGAGAAAGACAGTCCACAGAGTGGGAGAAAATATTGGCAAGTCTGATATTTTAAAGGAACTGGTATCCAGAATATATAAAGAACTCTCACAACTCAATAATGAAAAGACGAATAACCCAATTAAAAAGTGGGCCAAAGATTTGAATAGACACTTCTCCAGATATATATATACATGGTCAATAGGCACATTGAAAAGATGCTGAGCATCATTAATCATTAGGGAAATGCAAATTAAAACCACAACCAGATACCACTTAACCACTAGCATGGCTATAATTTAAAGAATGGAGAATCACAAGTGTTGGTGAAGAAACTGGACCCCTCATACATCGCTGGTGGGAATGTAACGTGATTCAGCTGCTTTGGAAAAGAGTATGGTGGTTCCTCAAAAGAGTACATACACAGTTGACATATAACCCAGCATTCTACTCCTAGGTATGTAGTGAAGAGAAATGAAAATACATGTCTACACAAAAATGTGTACATGAATGTTTATAGTAGCATGGATCATAATAAAAGATGGAAACAACCCACATGTCCTTTAACTGATGAATGGATAAACAAAACTTGTTATCTATACAATGGAACGTTATTCAGCCATAAAAAGAATGAAGTACTGATACATGCTACAACATGGGTGACGCTTGAAAACATTATATTTAGTGAAAGAAGCCAGGCACACAAGATCACATATTGTATGATTCTGTTTTGTACGAAATATCCGGAATAGGCAAATCAGCAGAGACGGAAGGTAGATTAGTGGTTGTCTAGGGTTGGGGTAGGGAGGAATGGGGAGTAACTAACTGCTAATGGGTGCAGGTTTACTTTGGGATGATGAAAAGGTTCTAAAGATGCTTGTGATGATGGTTGTACAGTTCTGTGAATATACTAAAAAACCTGTTAAATTATACCTTTTAAATGAGTGGATTGTATGTGAATTACATCTCAGTAAAGTTGTTCTATTAAAAACGTTATTGTCTTCTAACCTATCCACTAAAATATTGGTACATTGTGGCACTTACGTGTAGCACCTGGGCCGCTTAGCATCATCAAAAGTAACATCGCAGCCAGGTAACCCAAGCCTCTTGTCTGCTTGGAAGAGCATCAGAACGCTCCCAGGTGGGGACAGGGTAAATTTTCTGAAGCAGGAAATGTGGTTCATCCCCAAATTCTATTTTTATTCTAATGTGGCTTATTTTCAGTCAGTTGATCTCCAGCTCATCTCTAATAAGTGTACAGAAAAGTACACATCATCGTAGAAGAGTAAAATGCAGATAGGGAAAAAGAAGAAAATAAAACTCGAGTGTTTCCACAGCCCAAGATAAGAGTTGGCCTCTGCCTTTCACGCTCAGGACTGACCAGCAAGGACTGGGCATCCATCGTGTTGGTCTTCACGTGAAAGGAAATGGAACTTGGTGGTTTTCCATGCAAGTTAAGAAGAGATTCTTGGCACGTACTAATGATATCACTTCATAAGTTGGGCCTCCTCAAGCCGCAGACCTGCTGCAGCTGCTACTCTTCTTCAACCAGAATTCTTCAGCTTCACGTCCTGAAAACCTGACGTGTCTCTGTTTAGACAAACGGGCTACTTGCTAGTCAGAGACTTGGATCGGATTTGGACAGCACCGACCACAAGAACCACGAGAACAGATGCTCGTGGGCTCCTTTGGGAGCCGAGACCCTCTGTACCACGGAGTCTGGGAATTTTCCCAGATGAGTATAACTGACCAGTGAAGCCAGCAATGCTTTTGTCTAGGCGTCACCAAAGCTGACATTTAGAAGAGGCATGGGTGATCATCTTCTCATCCTACTCAGTGTTTCAAATGGGGAACCAAGCCCAGGGTGATTAAGAGGCTTGTTTAAACACGCAGCTCAACAAAAGCAGAAATTTCTCACATCTTACGTGTAAAAGATGTTGGCTGAACTTTAGTTAGGTCAAGGGGTGAGCAAACTGCTGCCTGTAGGCCAAATGCACCCACCATGTTTTTTGTAAATAAAGTTTTATTGGAACCTAGCCACCGCCACATGTTCCTGTATTGTCTGTGGCTGCCGTTGAACTTCAACAGCGGAAGTGAGGAGTTGCAGCAGAGACCGTCAGGCCTGCAAAGGTGAAAATATTTACTCTCTGGCTCTTTGCAGAAAGCACATTGCCAACCCCTGCTCTAGGTTAATAAGAAAAATGAAAATTGGAATGATACCTCCTTTTAACCTGATTTTCTTCGTTATCTAAATAGATAGTGGGAATGCTGCCTCTGTTTTAAACTTGGATCTCACAAGACTCCTTCGACCTTGTACAAGTTGTTTGGATTCTTTGCCCCAATTCTAATTTAGAGACTAAGTCGTGTAGAATTTACCTCCCACTGAAATGTATTAATATTTTCAAGGTGTTAATTTAATTAGTTCCAGTTTTTTTTGTTTTCTTTCCCTGTCCCAGATGGTTGTCTTAGATGATTTCTGAAAAAACGTTACACTAGGCATTTTCAGATTTAGGCTTCAAGCTGTTACTCATTCCCAGAGGTCCTTGGCAAGTAAGGGTCTGCGTGCATTTGTTGAGGCGGAAGTGGGATTTGTGCTCCCGAGACGCTGGTGTGCAGGGCTTTCCAAGCACCCTGGCCCTCCACGCCCTGCAACCACCTGTTGTTCATCTTTGCATTTCTCTAAACTTTGGAATTTAGTCAAAGCCCATAATTATTTAGCACCTACTATGTACTAGGCACTGCTCTGGGTGCTTAGGACAGGATATATTAGTAAACGATACACAAACCCTACCACGTGAAGATGGCATTCTAGCAGTGGAGGCAAATCGTACACAATAGGGATAATAAGTGCGCAGATTCTGTGGCCTATGACAAGTGGGGATTAGGCCGTGGGAAAAGCAGAGGTAGAGCTGGGGGGAGCAGGTGGGTTGTAGGACTCAGTGGGTGGGTGGGGGGAGCCTCACTGAGAAGAGGCCTGAGCAGACTTGGAGGAGGGGAAGGAATTAGCTAAAGAAGTGTCTGGGCTAAGAGCTTTCCAGATGCCGGGACCAGCTGGAGCAAAGGCCCCAAGGGGAAAGCAAGCCTGGGCGGTTTGAGGGGCAGCAGGGAGGCCAGCATGCTTGGAGAGGAAGGAGCGGGGAGGCGCTCCAGGAGAGGTAGAGGGGTCGGTACGGTGAGGAAGTGACCTGTGTGCTGGGCAAGTGCTCCCAGAAGAAGCTCACTGCAGGTGGAGTTGAGAAGTCTCAGGAATTCTTCGCTAGAAGATGGTTTTATCGCTTGTCTTATTTATGTATTTACTCCTCAAGAGTATAAAGAGGTTGGTTCTTTTAATTTACAGCTGATCACATTTGATAGGGAAGGCCCGATTATCAGGGTAGGGGGTAGGTGCCCTGTTAGTCCATGCAAAGGGGCCCTGTGGTCTGTTAACCAAAAAAGTCACTTGAAGCAAGAATATAATAAAAAAGGACACGCAAGTATTTCATTTTCATTTAAAGCATAAATGTGCGTTCATTTGCCTTTTTTTTCCTGATAGAACCAAAGGCCTTTTCGTTAGTGGGAATCTACTGACTGGAGCTCACCTTTCTTGCATAAATCATATTCATAATCCTCCTGGTGTTCCCCAGATTTCCCTGAAGAGAAGAAGCACCTGAGCCTTTATTTTATAAAACAAAACAGATAACCAAGAAAATCAGACCCCAAGGCCCGGTCTGGACTTCCTGAGTCAGAGTATCCAGGGCAAGAGGGTTGTTTATTTGTGTATTTAACGAGTGACCGAGGTGATTCTTATCATCAGGAAATCTTGGAAAACACTGGAATACAACTCCTGGTTTAGATATTTTTCTGTTTATTTGTGTTTTTGGGGGGCCACGCTGCGAGGCTTGCAGGAACTTAGTTCCCCCACCAGGGGTTGAACCCACGCCCTCGGCAGTGAAAGCACAGCGTCCTAACCACTGGACCACCAGGGAATTCCCTGTTTTTTCTTTTTTTAAGTGGAGAAAGAACATACAAAAAAACTTTGAAGCATTTTCCCCTCATCTTGTCCACCTACATCTAATTTGACAGAATTGTTTTTAATAACATGTTATGTCTTTCCAAAGCATTCAGCTAATTTTCCTAGAAATAATCCTCTTTTAATAGCTATATTTTTGCATTAATTAAATTTTTAATTAAATTGGATCATTACATTAACCGATAAAAGTGGCATGAACATATTCTGGGCGAAACACAGTGGTCTTGGTTGTCCTACAATGGGAGGGATGAGGGGAGAGGCACCGGGCTGCTAGAACAGGGGTCTTCAAACACCTTTGTTCTTGTACCCCGTTTACACTTTTTTTTTTTTTTTTTTTTTTTTGCGGCACGTGGGCCTCTCACTGCCGTGGCCTTTCCCGTTGCGGAGCACAGGCTCCGGACACGCAGGCTCAGTGGCCATGGCTCACGGGCCCAGCCGCTCCGCGGCATGTGGGTTTTTCCCAGACCGGGGCACGAACCCGTGTCCCCTTCATCGGCAGGCGGACTCTCAACCACTGCACCACCAGGAAGCCCCCCCGTTTACATGTTTAAACTTGACATCTAAAATTTATCAAAATCATTGAAAAAGATGTGATTCCGAATTACTGGAAATAAAATACCGACATTTAAAAATAAAACTGCCATTATCCTAAACTGCCATTTGAATGTATCCAGTCAAATCGAAATGTCACAACTGCTTGATAACCCACGTCATCCATTTACAGAATAAATATACAAGCCCTTTTTAACAATGAGAACCTTCACATTTTTTCTTTTTCTCTTTGAACTGGTATTCCCATCCTACTTCTACCGTAGAAATTTATATTAATGTATTTTTATGCTTGAAAATCTTTTGTTGACTATCCTATTATATTCTGCTGTAAAATATATGTTACTGAACTATTTTCAAGTTCTTTAAAACTTAAAAATTTTTCCATTGAAAAATTCTTGTAGATGGAATTATCACTGCAGTAATTTACAGCACTAAGTTGTTGAAAACAACAAATGGTACATTTTGATTAATAATTCCATAAAAGTAAAACTATGGGAAATGCATCTCTTAATAGATGCATGGGGCATGAGTTTTTTGAATTAGTTCGGGTATCCATGGCTGAGTATTACGCATTGTTAGAAGGAGACGGAGTTCATGTTGTTGTAGCCCAGTCGGCCTGTGGTCACAGGAAACCTGTATTCTGAGAAGATCAGGTTTCCCGACCCACTGCAGTGAGCGAGACCCCAGAGGAGCCGCGGGGCATGTCCCCAAACAAAGGAAAAGATGGAGTTATTATAGGATTTGGAAGGAGGGTTGAGTTCAGGTAAAGTTTAAATGAAGCAGTTTTTGATAGACTCAGCAACTAGCAGGGCTGTGGGTGTGGAGAGGGGTCAGATCTTCTCTGGCTGCAAAGTGGCCGCAAGGTCCTGTTTCCTTGAAGGTAGATGTGGAACCCTGGTCCCAGACATCCCTTACCTGGAGCTCTGCACCTGGGTTGGAAGTAAGGCTGCTTCTCGGAGGCTTAGGTCCTCCAGATGCAGGATATTTCATTCTTTACTGCCGTCATACTGGTAGTGTATGATTTTAGAGGACAGAATTCCTACTCAGTGAGTAACAAAGCAGTGGTCGCTCAAAGAAGGGAGTTGTTATGATACTGTGCAGCTTGTCCTGGGGGAAGAAAATTGTGTTTCTTACTAGCTTTGCAGCTGGCTGTATCTGTGTCTCTAATTCCAGTCTGAGGGATGGCAGGGAAGATTTTTACTGGCCGAGCTAAATTTTACCTTTTAAATGTCCAATGTCAATTGTAATTCTTTGTTTTTGCTTTTTTAAAAAAATATTTATTTATTTGGTTGCACCGGGCCTTAGTTGCAGCAGGCGGGCTCCTTAGTTGTGGCACATGGGCTCCTTAGTTGTGGCAGGCGGGCTCCTTAGTTGCAGCTTGTGGGCTCCTTAGTTGCAGCATGCATGTGGGATTTAGTTCCCTGATGAGGGATCGAACCCAGGCCCCACGAATTGGGAGCGCAGGGTCTTATCCACTGCGCCACCAGGGAAGTCCCAGTTTTCGCTTTTTATAGATGAAAGTACTGAGAAACCTGGGCCTCATAAACCCTGGGCGTGAAAGGAGTTTCATTATGGCATCGCCACTCAGATTTTGGACCTCCTTCCAAGTTATACGCTGAAATACCCATAGTAATCTTGAATCACATTTAGTGATCTGTTCATTGACAATTCTATAAGACCCTCTTTCAATTTTACTGAAAGCAAGGATGAAACGGCCCTGCTTGCATGTGTTACCCGGTCTTTAGAAACCGTTTGTTTTCTCAGATCCACACCGATATTTCAGACATCCCTTTCTTTTCACGTTCTGGGATAAGGCGCCATTGTAAGGTTTGGGATGGGTGAGGTGAGCTGCAGCTTGCTTTGGTAAATAGGGAGGAGGGTGAATGTGGAAAGGGGCACAAGGAAGAACATGTGGAAGCTGAGGCTCTCCGTGCCTGGCTGTGCTTCTCGGAAAGTCCTCAAGGGACTGTGCTGGGGCGGAGCTTTTTAGTGGCCAGTGTTCCACAGGCTGCCAGTGGTAGAAGGATCAGAGAGGCCATTTGGTCGGGGATGTCTGTTCGTGGCACAGAGAACAGAGTATTCAAGGGCTAAGGCCTTCATGATTTGTGTTGTATCAAGAATAAGTACTATGACCAAATGCTTTTTGCATTTTTAACTGTGCTCAGTTGATTTTCTTATTAACGATACACTAGAATTAGTTGGGTATTTTTTCCCCCTGTCCTAAGTGTTTTCCCTTGAAGGAAGCAGAAGTCGTTGGTTTTTCTTCTTTTCTCTCCCTCCTCTTTCTTGATCTTTCTCTTTTTCCTACTTTCTGACTGCAAGTCAGGGCTAGTCGCGAGTTCAGTGGACGGCTGCAGAGGCCTGTGGCCTCAGGTAAGGTCCTTACGGTCCACATGGCGCATGAGGCTCTTTTTTTCTTGTCCTTATTACCTGTCAGTAAGATTTTGTAAAACTTACAATATGTCAGTTATGAGTTTGGCAAAGCAATCACAAAATACAACCATGTCTCCCCTTCTTCCTTAAAAGAAAATCCTTATTTATAGCACCTAAATTCTAAGCAATTGCTTTCCCAAATTCCCTTGGTGACAGGGGCCAACCCATAGTGAAGTGTCTGCATTTGGAGTTTTCAGAAACTAGATGAAAGAACTGGGCACAGAAACGCATAAGACCGCATTTGTGAGAATGTGAATTTTACTCTGGTTGTAACTAAGAAAGTTGACTTGCTGAAGCAGAATGTTCATCTTGCTCCTAACTCTGCTGTGTTCGTCCTGCTATTTCAGGTTTCATTTCCAGGGGCCATGTGGGACGACGCTTCCTGAAGCCCTTGCGCCTCATGAAACTGAAACTGTTTCTTAATTGCCCTGAGGAAGGAAGAAATCACAGTGCATCTATAAGTACCAGGCCACCAACAGGAGAAACAGTCTTGTGGATGGTGAGCTGAATACTGAAAGGTCTGAATGTATCTTCTGGAATCCAAACTGCTGATAAGTGATGGGACTTAGAGGAAATAGTAGTAAACGTGTTTAGAAGGAGAAGTCACAGAACTTCTCAAGTCAATTCACGTTATCTGGTTTGAACTAAACATAAGATACCTCTGATGTGTTTGGTTGGTTACCGGGAGGGAAACAACTTTGTAATTAGATTGTCTAAAAAAAGTAATTTTTTTTTTTGCTATTTGGGTAGAGGGGTAAAACCCTGGTATTTCTGATTTTTGTGCAAGGTTTGGTGGAAAATAAAATCCCTTTCTACAGCAGGTAATTGACTGTATAAAGGTGTTACCCCAAGAGATATCTTTGTTGGGGACTTTCTCTTGTCAATGTTTATCTTGTTTGGCTGCCTAACCTCAGTTCCAGGGGGATAGCTTTCAACAAGAATTCAGGCAAGGAAGGAAGAGAAATTAGCAGTAAGGTAGAAAATCAGGATGAGAAAAAAGAATAATGCAAATATATGGACTCCAAGGACAAACACAGCTGCCTAAAATTTAGCACTGGCCTTCCGAGTGGGTCGTTCCTCAATATTATAAACACAGAAGGACATTTCTCACTATCATCAACACACGCTTCCCCCGACGCTGAATTTTGAAGGGAGTTTTTCCCGTGGGACTTGAAAGTTTTATGCTCATACTACCTCTGCGTAAAGTAGGAAGAATACAGCCCTCTCCTCAAGTCCCACCATCTAATGCAGCTCCCAGGGATGCCTGCTGCCGGCAAGGCAAGCATCAGAGGCCTGACGGAGGAGCGGCCTTCAGTAAACAGCGCATGAAGGTCGTACATAACTAGCTCCCTTGGATCAGGTGGGCTCCCTGGGTGATTATGCAGCTGGGCCATATCATCCCCACCCACCCCTTACAAAATTGCATTTAATATTACACCCTTGGCGTTTGTAGAAGTAGATGACAAGACGCCGTGACATAAAACTTTGTACTGCATTTGCAAGTCATGCCTTTTAATAAATCCCAAGTATCCTTTGCATGGGCAAGAGGGGCGCCCATAACCCACAGGGAGTCTGAAAGATCAGCCAGGCACCCTGAGGGCTCCTGTCATATGCTTTTACGTGGGTGGGTCAAAGCACGCACACTGACGGGACTTGTAATACTTATAATGCAGGTTTTGTACATAAAATACCATCATTCACTTCTAGTAGGTTTGTTGTAGGGCTTCTCAAAAGTGCACTGTATACAGTTCCCTAGTGTTAGCAGTGATGGAAGTCAGAACACTGTTTCAGGAAGTCGGACTATATTTTTAATTCGCAATTTCTATCTGACCAAGATCCAGATATTTCAGAACTGTTCTTTACAACTCCCTTCCTACTAGGTTGTTGGTACCAGTAGCTGTTTTTGTTTCTGTTTTGTCAATTTTGTTCATGTTTTGGTCTTGTTTTTAAACTAGGAATTGCTTCCAAATCAGAGCAGAGGAAAAGCGAATTGAAAATACTCCACAATTTATGTGAGGTAGGATTATTCAGTTCAATTCAATATTTACTGAACATCTGCCGTATGACAGACATTAGAAGTACAGTGCTTAGAGAGAGATGGACCATCCCTCAAGGAGTTCACAAAGACTGGGTTGGGACAATTGTCATATGAACTGGTAAACAGCGTGGAAGCTATAGTTACAGAAATGTGTTCAAGATTCAGAGAATGCCATTAGAGATGAGCAGAGTGGGGATGGGGTCGATCTTAAGGTGCTTGGAAGTCTTTAAGAGGAAGTCAGCCTGGGTGGGAGTTTTTGAAGGTATAAATAGGAGTTCCAAGGGCAGAGTGTGTGTCACTAGGGCATGTCCAAATGCAAGGTAAATATGAAATAGCTTGGTTTGTTCAGAGAAAGATGAATCATTTGCTATCGTATAATGGGTGAGAGAAGATAAACGCAAAGGTCATGAAGGGCCACGTATGCTAGGAAATGAAATAAGTATACTTGGGGCGGGGGCATAAATATACACAGTACGGGGGGGTTGCGTCACTAAGTGACGGTAGGATGGGCAGACACCGTGCAAGGTCCTGGGGTTACAGCAGGGAACCGGGGAGGGGGGGTCCCCGCTCTCAGTGAGCTCCCGTTCTAACGGGAGAGTCAGACAACAAGCTGTTAAGGCGAGGAGTCAGTGATGGACACAGAACAGGCAGTGGCCGAGGGCTGGTGGTCAGGGATGCCCGTGAGAGGGCGGCCGAGGTCGCCACGCCCACGTTTGGTGCTGAGGATCGATTTAAATCCGAGTCTGTCGACCTTGTTTCTCGTCGGCGACAACAGGGCTGAAAGGCATGGGGTCCTGCCGCCATAGCGCACTTCTTCCTTTTGAAACTGCACTTCTGTGGGGAGTGCGGAAAGCCGAATATCGACCAGGCGGATCTCGGAGCTAAAAAAGGCGGCGATAGGGCGACTGGGGCTTGTGGGTCACCGGATGGCGGGACCTGCGAGCCCACCTCAAGGAGCGCGAGGACCCAGCCAACCCTGCTCCCGGCATCCCCGCCAAGGAGGCAGCAGGATGTATCTTTCCCGCCTAGAAACCACGGCCACCTGCTCTCGCAGTCGTGAGCGAGGAGGGAGCCGCGAGGCCGCCTGCGCGCAGCCCCGGAGTCGGGCAGAAGGGAAGGGCCCCCAGCTTTCCTCAGGCCACGCCCGTCCCCGCTCTGCGCATGCGCCTCTGCATAGCTCAATGGGGCCTCGGAACCTGCAGAGGGCGACAGAACCCGCGGCGCCTGCCTTTTACGTCACGCTCCGCTTGCGTGCTGATTCCGGGTCAGAGGTCGGGCGCAGCTTGGGTCATGGTGCAGCTCAGACCGCGCGCGTCCCGCGCTCCGGTTTCGGCGTCGGCGATGGTGGACGAGGGCCAGCCCGCCTCGGAGGAGGAGGCGGAGCACGGCCTGTTGCTCGGGCAGCCGAGCAGCGGCGCGGCTGCCGAGCCGCTGGAGGAAGACGAGGAAGGGGACGATGAGCTTGACGACGAGGCCCCGGAGGAGCTGACTTTCGCCAGCGCTCAGGCGGAAGCGAAAGAAGAGGAGCGGCGAGTTCGCGAGACCGTGCGCAGGTTCGGAGCCTGCGGCCGGGCGGGGAGAAGCGCCCCTTCCCATCCCGCTCGTCCCTGCCCGGACTGACTTGTCGCCTTTTCTCCCAGGGATAAAACGCTTCTGAAGGAGAAGAGGAAGCGACGCGAGGAGTTGTTCATCGAACAGAAGGTTGGAGGGGAGGGCGGCGTTTCACAACGCGGCTCGGGGTAGAATTCAAAGTTGCTAGGATGTGGGGTAGAGGAAAGTCGCTAATATTTTCTTCTGACTACAGTGACAAGGTGCTCATGCTCTTTGCTGTCCACCGATTGAAAAAGGGAGTGGGAAGAAGTGGGAACCTGAAATCGTAGGGTCAGTCCCACCTCTGACGCTCGGCGGAGGTAGTTTATTTGAAACTGGGTCGCCGTGAGAATTAAGTGCTTTGGAAACTAAGGGCCGTTCCAACATGGAGGATGATTGATGTGCTCTCTGCTGTTTTAGCAGATTGGCCACAGAACTGACTCCATATGGACGTGATAGTAACTGCTTCCAGTGTATGATAGTGACCTGAGGGTTCCAGCCTTCACATCTTCCGAAGAATGTGGAATAGTTTCTGAGATGCTTGGTCCCAGTCTTCCCACAGCTTAGAGATAGTGGAGGGCGGTGTTCAGCCCAATTCATTTATTTGCCTAGAGGTAGGGCTGTCCTTAAAATGGTAACTTTTAAAAGCAATCCAGGGCATATTGTCGTGTACCTCACTTTTAATTGATTTTTAAAACGTTTTTAAGAAAAGAAAACTTCTTCCAGATACTATTCTAGAGAAGTTAACTACAGCTTCACAAACTAGGTAAGTAATGGATCTCGTTTTATTACTTGCCTACATACAGTCTTTGAATTACATATTGGTACATTTATTTGAACTCAAATAACTGAAGAAATTGTAAAGTCTAAATTAAAAAGCTACACAGTATTTGACTTCGGTGGGACAGGTTGAGGGAAATATTTCACTTATTTTCAGTCTTCTGGTTTTTATTATGTTTGTTGTTTTCCCCATAGGTAACTAGTTTCTGAGTTGCTGATCCCAGTGTGTTCATTCAATAAGTTGTGGGCCACTGTCATTGTACTAGGGGCAGGATAGATGGTGTGAATAAAAGTGTTTTGAAATTTATCCTTTAGTGGAGTAGCAGGCAATTATCCATAGGCTCCTAAAACTCAAGCTTGTCCCATACTTGCCCTATCTGCCACTAACGTGGCCTCCCTCCTCGTTCCCCATTTCACTTAGCAGCTCTGCCATCCACTGCACATTTAAAGCTACTTTTCCTCATCTGTACCAGGGAATCAATCAAACCATACTTAATTTACATTTCTAAATATTTGCTTTCCCCCCTCCCCATTCCCCCTTATCTCCTCTTACTGCTTTCAGTTTAGAAGTTTAGCCCTGCATCTTTGACTTAGGACAGTGGTTCTCAAATTTTCAGTAAAAGAACTTTCTCCAGAGTTACTCGGTTTCTGGATACATCACGGTGACAAAGTCCTTTTCACCTTTCAAAACCAAGTCCAGATGTCACCTGTCTTCTCTCACTCCCTCTACCCCATCGCTCGCCCCACCATCGCGCTTTTCCAGTGTGCAAGTGCTTCTGTGTAGATATCTCATTGTATTTTGCCATTTGTCTTTCTCTCCATTAGACCGCACTTCTTGAGGCTATAAATTCTTGTCTCTATCCTCGTTTGTGTCTAAATTGTTCAATTAATGCTTCGAGATCTCTCCAAATAAAGTGAGGCAGGCCTACCACCTTTCACTTTGTATTTCAAATACTGTACTATATAATTCTTAAATATTTCACTTTAACTCTGTTAACCACAACAGTCTGCTTTGGAAGCCTGCTAATATATTTTCAGATTTTAAATTCTGAGAAGATATTCCCAACCTAGTATAGTTTGTTGATTTTGAGTTGTCAGTTCACTGGGGAGAGACTCTTTCTTTCTAAAGATCCTAAGTAAAAACTGAGAATGGTGGTAGTAAGGGGGGGGGAGGGGTATCTTATTTGTAAAACCAGATGAAATTTTGTAACAGGTTGAGTCACCTTTGCTCTCTGCCATCCCAATTAGTGTTCTTCTTGTTCTTCCTTAGTGTGAAGAAATCACCCGCAAAGTTGAAAGAAGGTATGAACTATTCTAATTTAAATAACTTCTCATTAAGTGTCAACTGCATTTGCAGATATTTGCAGTCAAATGTTACTGACCCTTAGAAAGAGCGTGGGAACAGGCCTGGCCAGTTGTAGCTTATTTCTTACAAATAAAAACCACACACTGGTGTGTAGTGGGTATTTAAAGTGAACTCCAGTATGTGTTCCTGATTTATTTTTACACCAATGCTAATTAGAAATATAACTCAATGTTTTAGTGAATTTGCAAAAGAAAAATGAAGAATGTGAGAAAGGAAGTGACTCAAAGAAAGCTAAAGAAAAAGTGCAAAAAGTACAGACCGTTGGGTAAGAAGAGTCTTCTTTTTTTGTGTGTAGGATGTAAAGACCTTTGGAGGAGAGTATTGGCTTAATTAGTAGCAGTTTCAGATTGGATCCTCTGTGGAAAGTTTTTGGTATTTATATTTAAAAAAATATTTATTTGCTCTACTAAGATGTAAACATTACTTGTAAAATAGTCCTGTAATTTAGTTTTATCATCTTACCCGTGCATATACAAAATTAGGACTTGGGATATTGTTTTCCACTATTTGAGTCAACTAACAAAAATACTTTATTTTGAAAATAAGCACTGCCTCATTTTGACCTTTTGTATTGATTACCAGCCAGAATAAAAGCTACTTGGCTGTAAGGCTGAAAGACCAAGATTTGAGAGATTCAAGGCAAGAAGCGGCCAAAGCCTTCATACAGAATTGTTTATATGGTCCTGGAACCAACAGAACTACTGGTAATTTCTTTATGGACTATTTTTCTCCCTTTTAACTGCAAGTTAAACAAAGCAATGATAAATAATTCTCTTTCCTAGTAAACAAGTTCCTGTCTCTTGACAACAAGAGGTTACCGGTGAAAAAGGCCGCAGCCCAGTTTTTGAATAATGCTTGGGGTAAGATTCAGCTTTGTTCTCTGAATCTGATAGTTTTATATATTGTATAATGTTCTTTAAAAAAAAATTTTTTGTTTATTTGGCTGCGCTGGGTCTTAGTTGTGTGCGGCACGTGGGATCTTCACTGCCACGTGTGGGATCTTTAGTTGCGCATGCAGGCTCTAGTTCCCTGACCAGGGATCGATCCCGGGCCCCCTGCATTGGGAGCACAGTCTTAACCACTGGACCACCAGGGAAGTCCCTGAAAGATGTTCTTTTTTAAGGAGATAGTAAATACTCATGCAGTATCGATGTTTTTCTTACAATGGCTTCTATTACTATTTTAAACTTGCTTCTGAAGAATAGGTCAGTGTAGTATGTATGCACACGTACCTAATTTTAATATTTACACTCATGTGTTAACTAGAAAATTTGGAATTGTTTCTTGGGAATTTTATCTCTTTATTATTCTTAACTGCACAAAACCTTCTATTCTAGCATCCCAGAAAAAACAAAATGCCAAGAGGTTTAAAAGACGTTGGATGGTCATAAAGATGAAAACTTCTAAGAAGTAAATCAAAGCTAAATGAAGAACGAGGACTTCGTATGTACAGAACTTATAAATTTTTAGTTTAGAGCATTTAATTTTTCTGAAAAGATTAATAAAAGACTTACAAATCATTTTAGAGGGTCATTATAAAAATCGTAAGTCTGTTTGGGGTAGTACCCAGTCACATGTCATCCATGGAGTATAAGTAATTGTGCCTTATAGTCTTTGAGCATCCTGGAAGAAAAAGCAGTTTAAAAGGACTTGTTTTCCTTTCTTTTTGTAATTGTTTACCCATTTTACTGAACACAAGCAGGGCCCACACCAGTAGGGCTCCTCCGCTACCCCTCCCCCTCCCCTGCAGGGTGTGTGGCAGGAAAAGTCTTCCACCGCAGCTCTCAGATGCTTTAGCCTCTTGGATGTTTTTGTGCTGTTGATGAGAATTTCACAGAATACGA